CAAGCGAGAACGCCACCGTACCTTCCTAGCCGCGCCCACTCATCGTTTCATAACCGTTCTGGCGGCAATAGAAAGCGCAGTGTAGTGTAGAGGTGAGCGCCCTTGGCTATAAGTCGCGCATCGCGGGTTCGACTCCCATCTGTGTTTTCGTTTTTTCTGTTTTTATGGGCCCGGCCACGCCCGCTGGTCTACATACGCCTAATTTTAAGCTGGAAAACGAAATTTCAGATCTGGATCTTTTTTTGGAAACCGGAGTTTGAATCTTATTCGAGACGCGGGACGGCAGTTTTGTTGTATGCGCCTTTAATAAGTCGATTTCGCGACTAGAGAAAGCTTAAAATCTAAATTCAAATCCATGTAACTGATTTTACCGCTTAAGCTTTTGATAACGATTTTCATAGAAATTATTATCGCTGTCTGAGAATAACAAGTTTGAGAGCGACATATCGCCTTAAAGTGCGGAAACCACAGTACTTTGAGGCCTATTTTCCCCCATTTTTCGACGATTTTCACTGTTTTTTCAATGTAAATTCGATGTAAACTCGTTAAAAACGGTGAAAATCGTTGAAAAATTGGTGAAAAAGTGTTTTCCGCTCACTTGCTCCTTTAAAAAAAATTAAACGAGATATTTCGCTCTCAACCTTCTTCTTCGCAGACATCGACCTGCAAAACTCAAAAAAAGAAAAAAGGGTCATATTATAAATATACTAGCGTTGATAACGCTTCTGAACAGACATTTTTAAACAATTGACAAAATATTATTTTTCAAAAAATAGGTCATATTATTATGCAAAAATACAAAAAATATCACAAAAGCGAACAATATAAAGAGTAAAATACAGGTATACAAGGAGAGGACACACAAAAATGACCCGTGGCTTTTCGAGAAGAGACGAATCAGCACACTGCGACGTGGAAAGAACTGCAAGGCGGGGAGAGAGTGTGCGAGACGAGGAGGGTGCGAGAGAAACGGAGTGACCGCCGGGCGGTACGCTGCTCGTCGCAAAACAAATGGGAAGAGTAAAGTAAAGAAGATCGATTGGCCTTGACCCGTTTCATTGAGAGGAGTTGATTGAGGAGACAATTGACGATGAGAGAAGATATTACACACACGTTATTTGGGAGTCTTCGTGATTTTTGATCGGATGTTGTCTGGAAAAAAGAGGGGGAATTGGGTTGATTTCCGAGTCAAACTCTCGAGGAGCTCTGCTAGTCAGGGACGTTTGGAATGACCTTTTCACGAAAATTTCGGAATATTCCATTTTTGAAATTTTCGGATTTTCGAAATTTCGGGAATTCGAAATTTCGGAATCCAAAATTTTCCGATTTTTAAAATATCGGAATTTCGGAAATTCAGATTTTGAAATTTTCAGAAATTCGAAAATTCGGAATATTCCGATTTTTATAATTTCAAAAATTCAGATTTTTCAGATTTTTAAATTTTCGGAAATTCGGAATCTTGTACTTAATCGGAAAAGTGTCAGAAATTCGAAAATGCGGAATATTCCGATTTTTATAATTTCAAAAATTCAGATTTTTCAGATTTTTAAATTGTCGGAAATTCGGAATCTTGTACTTAATCGGAAAATTTTCAGAAATTCGAAAATTCGGAATATTCCGATTTTTATAATTTCAAAAATTCAGATTTTTCAGATTTTTAAATTTTCGGAAATTCGGAATCTTGTACTTAATCGGAAAATCGGAATATTCCGAAATTTTGAAATTCCGAATTCAAATAATCTGGAAAATTTCGAAATTACGATTTTCCTTGGAAAAAAGTTTGGATAAACGAAAAATTGAAAAAATCCGCCGTGCAATCGCGCTCCGCTAAACGGAACGCTTGCAGTTACAAATTCAAACTGTGGCGATCGTAAGACTCACAATTCCAACTGCTATCCGCTTCTTCTCATCCTCACTAACACCCTGGGGCGTTGGCTCGATGGAGAAGTTGGAAATTCGATTTCGAAGCAGCTTCTGCTTCATGAACTGTTGAACGAGCACTCGTTTACATCGTTGCTTCACAGCTAGCGCTAAATCCAACCATGTCCAGTTCTGTTCGTGATATTCGCATAGGGGAAAGATGAAGTTGAATTGATTCACATCGATTAGATTCTTGTCTTTGTTGCCCTGAAATTTTTTTTTAAATTTCCAATTTTTTGAAAAAATGCCAGCTGCAAATGCGCTCTAACGGACCGCGGTGGTAAATCGCGTTTACACGGGGTCAGAGGGCTTAGGAAGCCAAATTTTTTGAAAAATCGATTAATATAAATCGCAAGTGTGCTGAAAATTGCTACTGCGTGGTACCCAAAACTTTCCAATGAAGCCGCAAATGCGCTCTATCGCAATTTCCCTGAAAATCGTCGCTTTAATACCGTACCTTGTACGAAACGACGAAAGAAACTTCGGGAATTTTGATATACATGAAATGGTTGACTTTATCCGCTCGCTCCTTCATCCGATCGATATCGTCCTTTTCGTATAGCGACTTCTGGAGACCCAACTTCTCTGACGCCGACTTGTTGCTCCTCATGCTAAGCGTGCTGGCGATTTTTCGAGTGAATGAGAAAGTCTGGAAAAAATTCAGATTCAAGAAGTATGCAAATGCGCTCTATTGAAAAATTTCTCATAACTCAGAAACTAGTGGGCCGATTTCAATGATTTTTATACCAAAATGTGGGGAATTTTTTAGGCTTCAATTCGAGCTATCAAATTGAACTAGAATGAAAACGCAAGTGCGCTCTAGTGAACTCAAGCTTTGATAAGCCATAACTCCAGAAATAGTGGGTCAATTTTTATGATTTTGCTATTAAAATGTAGGGAATTTTATTTGTCTTTAATTTGAGCGTCCACTTCATGTCGGAGATCAAGAAAATTCGGCAAAAAATAAACTTTTTGAATTCCTAGAAAATGCAAATGCGCTTTGATGAACTTTGACCATAACTCAAGAAATACTCGGTCGATTTTAATGATTTTCATACTAAAATGCCTGGAATTTTTCAGGCTTTACTTTGAGTTTGAAATTGAATTGAAAGAAAATGCAAATGCGCTCTAGTGAACTCAAACTTTGATAAGCCATATCTCCCGAAATGGTGGGTCAATTTTCATGATTATTATATCAAAATGTAGGGAATTTGAAAGGCTTGAGATCCTGGAAAATTGGACAAAAATTCGAATTTAAAGAAAATGCAAATGCGCTCTAGTGAACTATGGCCATATGATTTTCATACCAAAATGTGAAGAAAAACCCACCGAACTACTCTCATCATCGCCTCCATCCAAACTGTCATTCGCGTGAATATTCCTTCCGGGGAAAAAGAACCTCATCATCTTGTCGAACAACCGATGCGTGATCTCCGCAACCATCGGAGCAATGTTTAGCTCGAAGTGCTCTTTAACACTAATCCCACCAACCGGTGGCATATCCCGAACGTATAATCGAATCGCCGGCTGTCGCGTCTGCCGAGTTTCATCTCTATGGAGCGCATGCTTGTAGATCGTATCCGGGAGGAGATTCGTGATTCTAACACTTCCCACTTCAAACAAATGATCTCCACAGTTGCTATCCCTAACTGTCCGGGTGTAGAGGAAGTTTCTAATCTGTGTCTGTGCCAGTGCAATTTGCCCATCCGATTCTGTCAATTTCCATATGCAATCCTCGAAACAGACCTCGAATCTTCTGATAACCTCCACCCCTTTCTTGGCATTCTTCCCCTCGTCAAACTCCTTCACCTGATTGACTTGTCGCTGTTTATAACTACTAATATAGGTTGCCAGCTTCTCTGAGACTGTCAGCATTCGTTGTTTCGTCTCCTCGGCCTCCTGGATCAGTTGATCCTCGGTATACTCGATTTTCTCCATGGTATTCTCCTCGTTGCTCAAATAGAACAACTGCCGTTCCAAATACCTTCCAAGTGACACAATCTCTCTTAACTCCGACTGATAACGCATGATTTTCGCCCGCATCTCAGCCATTCCCATCAGCTGACACTCGAATCTCAGTCTCCGCCGTTTCTCGCCCATTTCTTTTTTTATCGGATCAACAAACAATGCCAAATTGTTGACGATGTCCACTACCATCTCGTATTGCTCAGAATTCGACGTGGCTTCCAGCATATTATGTTTCAGAGTCAACACATCGATTCCAATGGCGTCTGTATTGAGAGATTGGTGCTTAGGGTCGATTTGCGGTGGGACAGAGATATCTTCAGATGAATCAGTCTTCAGCTCATCGGAGAAGTAGCAGAAGTAGATTTGACAAGAGCATCTGGAGACAATCCGTTGCAATTGAACAGCAGACTCCTCTTCGGTCTGTACGACTCCACCCACTGCTTCTCCGGTGGCTGTGAACTTTTGAACGAAGTCGTCTGCGAAACCACCGGTGTCTTGGGATTTCTCATCGATCACTTCTCGTGGCAACCAACGGAACTTCTCTTTATTGTTGGTTCCTGAGGCGGAGAGGGAGATCGGGGCAAAGTATTGCATGCCGGAGAGCTTGGCGCTCCACGACTTCTTGCTGAGCAATAGACTTCGCTTCCAGACGTTTCGGTGGAACTGGAAATTGGGTTATTAGGGTTTTTAGATAGTTTTAAAAGCTCTAAAACCTAAAAACCTAGACATTCAGAACTTCAAAAATCTGAACATTCGAAAATTCAAAAATCTAAAAATCAAAAATATTTAGAAATTGAATTTTTGAATTCTAGGATTTTTAATTTTTAAATTTTCAGATTTTTCGATTTTTGGAATTTCGGAATCCCAGAATCCTAGGTTTTCAGAATTCCAGAATCCTAGATTTTCAGAGTTTTAGATTTTTAGAATCTTAGAATTTCAAATTTTCAGATTTTCAGAGTTTTTAGAATCCCAGAATTCTAGGTTTCCAGAACTTCAGAATCTCAGAATTTTCGAATTTTCCGAACTTCGGATTTTCAGAATTTTCAGGATTATTCGGATTTTCTAGTTGCTAGATTTTTAGGATTTTGAGATTTTTAAGATTCTCAGAATTTCCAATTTTCAGAATCTCAAAATTTCAGAATTTCGGAATCCTCGGTTTCCAGAATTTCAGTTTTTCAGAATATCAGAATCTTCGAATTCGTCCAAATTTTGCGATTTTCAAGATTTTTGGAATATCAGAATCTCAAAATTTCAGATTTTCAGAATTTTCCGAATATCAGAATTTCAGAATCCCAGAATCTTAGGTTTTCAGAATATCAGAATCTCGGAATTTCCGAATTTTCCGAATTTCAGATTTTCAGAATTTTCAGAATCGCAGAATTTCGAAATTTTCCAAATGTAGGATTTTCAGAATTTTCAGGATTTTCAGGATTTTAGGATGTTTAGGATTCTAAAGGCTTTCTGATTTTTCTCAATTCTTAGGATTTTCAGAATTTTCAGAATTTGGAAATTTTAGAATTTGGAAACTTCGAAATTCCAGATCTCAAATTTTGAAATTTCAGTTTTTGAGATTTTCAGATTTTCAGAATTTCAGAATCCTAGATTTTCAGAGTTTTAGATTTTCAGAATCTCAGAATTTCAAATTTTCAGAATTTTGAACTATCCTAATTTCAGAATCTGAGAAAATCAAAATTTCAGGTTTTCAGAATTTCAGAATTTTTGAATTTGTCCAAATTTCGGATTATCAGAATTTTAAGGATTCTTGGCATACTTGTAAAATTCCGGGCCCGGCCCGTGCTTGAGGAAATTTTCAAGGCCCGGTGTCAAAAATTCTGTATTTTTGAGCCAAATTTTGAGCTCTCAATTTTCCATTCTTTTTTCGTATTTAGGATTGTTTGTCTGTCTGATCAAAAAAAGATCAAAAAAACTCGAAAAAAAATCTTTTTTGGTCGAAAAAAAATCACATAAGGGTCCCCCCTTATATGTTTTTTGAAATTTTCGAAAGTAGTGAAATGACGGGCCCGCCGGGCCGGGCCGGGCCTCCGAAATTCCGGAAAAAGCCCGGCCCGGCCCCCGTTTTACAGTAGATTCTTGGGATTTTCTAGTTTTTAGATTTTTAGGATTTTGAGATTTTTAAGATTCTCAGAAATTCCAGAATTTCAGAATTCTCGGTTTCCAGAATTTCAGTTTTTCAGAATTCCAGAATCCCAGAATCCCAGAATCTCAGGTTTTCAGGTTTTCAGAATCTCAGTATTTCAGAATTTTCAGAATTTCAGAATTTCCGAATCCCAGAATCCCAGAATATCAGGTTCCCAGAATTTCAGATTTTCAGATTTTCAGGATCATAGGTTTTCAGAATTCCAGAATTTCAGAATCCAAAAATCCAAGAATCGCAGGATTCCATAATTTTAGATTTTCAGAATCCCAGAATCTTAGATTTTCAGAATTTCAAATTCTGGATTTTTTTAAAGATTTTCTGATTCTTAGAATTCTCAGATTTTTTATTGTTTTTTTTTTGGATTTTCAGACCTAATTAGGCTAATTGCTTTAGTATCTAATTATCCTAATTTAAAAAACTCACATTCTGTAAAAGCTGCGATTTCGCAGCACACACCAGCAGGAACCCATCCCGTTCGCATCCTTTCAGCACCAGTTGACTGTTGAAAAGGTCGACTGAAAATAAGGATTTCGTTGTAAACGCGCTCCAGTGAGAATATTTGAAAAATTAGATTTTTAGGGTTTTTAAGGATATCTAGATTTTTATAGGATTTCAATTTTTTAGATTTTCAGAGTTTAAGGATTTTCAGAATTTTTCAAATTTTTCGAATTTTGAACTTTACGATTTCAAGGATTTTCAAAATTTTTGAATTTCTGGACTTTCAGATTTTTAGATTTTCTAGAATTGTTAGGATTTCGGATTTTCTTATAAAATCAAAGTTTTTTTTCCCAAATGCTAAACTATGGATTTTGTTGGGAACGCTGAAAAGTACATTAGAGCGCAGTTGTTGCCCACTTACTCTGCCAATTCAACAATTTAACATCATCCATCGTCGACTGATGTACTCCAATCAGCGAATCAATGGGAACATCAGATGCCTGCTCACAATGAGCAACCAACTTCGTCCCAACCTCATCAATCAGCTGTGTCAACATCCACGGATTCGTCTCCGTCACACTATACCCCCTCCGATGGGTCTTTGTCTCTTTTTTAGGTGTCGGATCTTTTGGCTCCACCGTCTCTTCCAAATGCACATTTAGCGTCTTCACAGCGTCATTGCTCAGAATTCTCCGAAGCATGTGCGCTCTATGGACACCATCTGCAATTGTGAGGCAAGCGTCTCGATTCTCCGCGGTCCATGCCATTTTCAGATCGAATGCGGTGACTTTATGAAGTGGGACATCTTTCCCGGGGAATGTCTCTCTGGCATACTGTACTCTTCCGAAGCCCAGAGGAAAGTATCTTCTGAAGGAGATCCGTCGCTTGGTGGACGACTCTCTCCTCCGTAGACGTGGATTTGGGTCGCCCACCAGGTACAGGTCATGTGATGAGTGCTCCAGGTGTAAATCTTACGGCGTTGAACGTTCATTTCCTGGAGTAGATTTGAATTTGGGAATGATGTAAATGCGCTCTATTGGACTTTAAGTTGTAACTTTGAATCTAGCGATCCGATTTTGATAAAAATCAAAGCAGAATATAGATAATCTCAAAATTTTCATCTAGTGTATAAGAAAGTGAGAATTTTAAAATATGAACGGTCAGGAAATGCGCTCTATTGAAAGAAAACTTTAAGTGATCATAACTACTAAACCACTGGACCGATTTCACTGGTTTTTATACCAAAATATAAAGCATTTCAACTGCTGCTGCAATCCAGTGTACCAAAAATTGGAAATTTCAAAATTTGAGATTACGCAATTGCGCTCCACTGAACTTTATTTCTATTTGCCTATAACTAGCGTTTCACTGAACCAGTTTTGATGATTTTTATATTGAAATGAAGGGAATCTCTTTGGGGCTTGATTACACGGGAAATTCAAATTTAAAAGCTATGCAAGTGCGCTCTATTGGACTCAAATTTAAACAGGCCATAACTACTGAACAGCTGGGCCGAATTGTATGATTTTTATATCAAAATGTAAGCTGCAATCTAGTGTACCAAACCAATTGACAATTTCAAAAATAAGCAAATGCGCTCCACCAGACTTTATCTCTATTTACCTATAACTAGCGTCTCAGTAATCCAATTCTGATGATTTTATAACAAAACGTCGAGAATTTCTCTAGCTTTCGATTCCATAGAAAATTCAAATGTAGAAGCTATGCAAGTGCGCTCTATTGGACATAAGCTTAAACAAGCCATAACTACTGAACCGCTGGGCCGAATCGTATGATTTTTATATCAAAATGTAGGAGATTTCATTGGTTTTAATTTGACATAGACTTCCAAGCGCCTTTAATGATTTTTATATGAAAAATATCGAATTTTCTTATTCTCTAAACTCACCCTATTAACCGACGAGTGTTGTACAGTTTGCCTAAACGACGCCGTCAATTGAAGACCATCAGAAAAGACTCTAAATCCATACGACGACGAATGAGACATCCAATAGGTCACCAGAACCTTCGGAAGCGAAAACGAGAATTGCAATTTTCCGAAATGTTTCGATAACTGAGGTTTCAACAGAACCCGGTTCCCAAACACTTTTCCCCTGCGTACATTTCGATTTTTCGTTGTCAGCGACTTCAAAAACTGTTCAATCCATCGGAAAGTGTTCGAATAGAGCAGCAGGTTGGGCATTTTCTCGTTAGAGGTACAACTTCCAGGTGACACATCGAAATTCAGTGTCACATTGACACATGACGAACGGAATTGACGATATGAGTCGTGTTCTTCTGTCTGGAATAATTTTAGGTCCTTTCTGGATCATTTTAGCATGGTGGCCTAGAAAAGTCCAGTTGAGAAAGTTAGGCCATTATGCTAAATTAGCTTAGAAATGGTCTAGTATACTTCTAGTGTGTTTCCAGGCCATTTTAGCTTGGTGGCCTAGATAACTCAAGTTGAAAAAGTTAGGCCAGCATGGTAAAATGGCCTATGATTAGTCCAATATTCATCTAATGTGTTTCCAGGCTATTTCTAGTCCTTTTTAGCATAGTGGCATAAACTTCCCAAAGTGAGGTTTTCTAGGCCATCTTAGCATGGTGGCCTAGAAAACTCAAGGAGAGAAAGTTAGGCCATCATGTGCAAATTGACCTGGAATACACACTAGGTGCACATTGGGCTATTTCTAGGTCATTTTATCATGGTGGCCTAGAAAACTCATGTTAGGCCAGCATGCTAAAGATGGCCTAACTTTCTCAAAGTGGGGGTTTCTAGGCATTATGACCTAACTGGAGTTTTCTAGGCCACCAGTCTTTAGAACTAACCGAAGAATAATGTGGCAACTTGTCAGGAGCACATAGCTGAACTGCATGATGTTCATGTGGATCTCCACTGCACTCCCATCCCAATAGAACCTTGAGTCGAACATCCGGAAGTGATAGAATCTGTGAATCATCGTATCTCGAAGCGGTCCTCAAGAAAATCTTGAGTCCCGACTTGATTCGAATCTCTCCAAGTGCCCAATCCAATCCGAAGTCCTCCCAAAGCATCTCGACGGTCTCTGTTTCGTTGTAGGGATCGTTTGAGGCTAGCATCGTTGTCACTATCTTTTCACTGGACCATAGAAGTTTTCCATGGAGGAGGAAACGCATTTTATCCCAGAATGGGAGGGGTTGCGAGGGGTCGAACGACGGGGCGGAGATGCTGTTCCACACGAGAGAGATCATCGAGAGACAGGGTTCCCAACACGGGCCGTAGGTGCAGTTGTACTCGGTGCTGGCTGGAGAAAAAGAAGCGAATTTTTGAAAATTTCAAATTTTGGGGTAATGCAAGCATGCTCTGTTGGACTTGAACTTTGCTTAGCCATAACTTTTGCCCTTTTCAACCGATTTGCATGGATTTTCTATCAAAATATTACAAATTCCAATTTTGTTCAATTTGACATAAAAATTTGGAGAATTCAAATTTTGAAATAGTGCAAATGCGCTCCATTGTACACTAGCTTTAAATGGTTGTAACTTTCGAAGCGCTGAACCAAAATTCATGTATTTTAATGCGAATTCCCAGAATATGTCTTCCAGAATAAACATTCGATTTTTTTTCCAAATTTTTAGATGATGCAAACATGCCCTGTTGGACTTGAACTTTGTTTGAATGTAACTTAATCCCTCGTGGACCGATTTTAATGAGTTTTCTATCAAAAAGTTACAAATTTCAATTTTGTTCAAATCGACATAAAAATTTGGAAAATTTAAATTTTGAAATAGTGCAAATGCGCTCTATTGTACCCCAACTTCAAATGATTGTAACCTTTGAAGCGCTGAACCAAAATTCATGATTTTTAAAGGAAATTTCCAGAATATGTCTTCCGGAATTAAAATTCGATTTTTTTCAAATTTCAAGATAATGCAAACACGCTCCATTGGACTTGAGCTTTTTTTAGTCATAACTTTTGCTCTCATGGACCGATTTTAATGATTTTTCTGCCAAAATGTTAGAAATTCTTCTGTGTGGAATTTCACCCAGAAAAAAATATAGTAATTTTAAATTTCAAAATTATGCAAATGCGCTCCATTGTACAATGGTTGTAACTTTCGAAGCGCTGAACTAAAATTCGTTATTTTTTGGTCAAATTTTCTGAATAATTTTCCACTTGTTTAGGCGTCAAAAATATGTTAAAAATTTGTAATTCAAAATGACGCAAATGCGCTCCATTGCACACCAGGGCGCTGCACCGAAATTCATGATTTTTAAATAGAAAAATCCGTACCACACTGAAGATCATAATAGAATTTCAGCGGCGACATGTTCCTCTGTACAGTATGCGTTGGAAATGGGTCGGGGAGCGGGATGGTGCACTCTCTGAGACACCGTCCATCATCAGCAATACTCTCAGCAGCCACTAGTGTGCCGAAGAAGTGAAGGTCTTTGATGTCAAGGTATTTCATGGGATAATCTGAAAATGGTAAATCTGTGTGTTTGTTTGTCCAGATGTCTTTTATTTTGTACTGTAGGGCTCCAAAAAGTAGGTCAACGTTATCCGCTAGTTCTGAAACTCCCAGAACATTCCAAAAACATTAACCTACCTTTTTAGAGCTTTTGGGACCTTTGGAGCTCTAAATTTCGCTATTTTTCCGTGAAAATTGGCTAAATGACTACTGTACCCACCTTTGAACGTCACCGTCCACTCATCAACATCAAACTCCACAGCTCTAGCCCATAGTGTTAAATACTTCTGTTCTGGTATTGGACTTAGAGGATCAAACGACTTCATCATCTGAATGCACTTCTCGGTTCCATGAAGTGATAGATCCGCGAATGCCCGCATACTCCAACCCTTCCATTTCGAGAGGAACAGGGGAGCATCACTGATTTCCGTCACGTTCCAACGATGTATGTAGATATCACTGTTCTTCTCGAACAGTCGCCGGCGAATCTTCTCCAGCGTTTCTTCTGGAAAATTGTGGTTTTTTAAGGATTTTTAGATTTTCAGAATTTCAGAATTTCAGATTTTTTGGATTTTTTGGATTTTCAAAATTTCAAAATTTGAGATTTTCAAGATTTCTATTTTTCATGATTTTGGATTTTAGACTTTTTGGATTTTTAGATTTTCAGAATTTCAGAATTTCAGATTTTTAGGATTTTAGGATTTTTTGGATTTTCAAAATTTCAAAATTTGAGATTTTCAAGATTTCTATTTTTCATGATTTTGGATTTTAGACTTTTTGGATTTTTAGATTTTCAGAATTTCAGAATTTCAGATTTTTAGGATTTTAGGATTTTTTGGATTTTCAAAATTTCAAAATTTGAGATTTTTAGGATTTCTATTTTTCATGATTTTGGATTTTAGACTTTTTGGATTTTTAGATTTTTAGAATTTCAGAATTTCAGATTTTTTGGATTTTAGGATTTTTTGGATTTTCAAAATTTCAAAATTCGAGATTTTCAAGATTTCTATTTTTCATGATTTTGGATTTTTAGATTTCTAGTATTTCAGAATTCAGGATTTCTGTATATTTCACAAATTTTTGAGATTTTCATGATTTTTTATATTTTGGGCTTTTGGATTTTTAGATTTTCAAATTTAAGATTTCGAGCTAGTTACCAGCTTTTAAAGCCCAAACTCGGTTAGGCCACGCCTATTTTCTGTAAAATGGGCGGAGCCTAGTCGAGTTTCGGCTTGCTTTAAAGCTGGTAAGAGCTGAAAATGACTGAAGTTTTTTTTCCCCCAATTTCGCTGTCTCGAAATCAAAGAAAAATCAGAAATTTACCAATGTGGCCTAACTTTCTCAACTGGAGTTTTCTAGACCACCATGCTAAATTAGCTTGGAAAATACAATAGGTGACTATTAGATCATTTCTAGCTAATTTCAGAACGGTGGCCTAGAAAATTCTGGTTGAGAAAGTTAGGCCAACATGTAAAGCGGCCTAGAAATGGTCCAATATTCACCTGGCGTGTTTCCTGGCTATTTTAGCATGGTGGCCTAGAAAACTCAATTTGAGAAAGTTAGGCCACTGTGTTAAAATGGCCTAGAATTGATCTAATATTCATCTAGTGTGTTTTCCAAGCCATTTTAGGCAAATACTCATTAGCTTGATGATCTTTTGCTAAATGCTCACTTGCTAAACTCGCTCATTTGCTAAAATAGTCTCACTTGCTAAATTTCATTTGCTAAATTTTGATCATTTGCTAAAAATGAAAAAGTGGAAATTTTGCTGTTATTTGCTAATTTCAGT